AAAAAAAAATAAATCGGTAAAGAAACTATATCAATTGTATATTAATTATACCAAACTCAGTCAAACAAAAATATACCTGTTCTATATTTTTATTTAATAAAAACACAGCATATTCAAATCGAAAACGATCGACACCTTTAGAATATAAGGGAAATCTAAGGAAAAAAAAGAAAAATTTGTTATAACTAGTAATAGTCAAGTCAAACATGGATTCTTAAAACAAAAAGTAGGATAATTACAGCGCTCCAAGTTGATTGTTAGGGTAAAAACCTTCCCATGAGTAAATATTAAATATGATCCGGTTGATGACCCATTTGAATGGTATTGTGCATGTTACAAATTCTGTAACATGACGCCTGAGTATGGGATATGATATATAATTTCTTATAATTACAGACGTCGTTCAAACAAGCTATCACGAACCATTTCTATACAGATGAAATTAATCAATCAATCAATCAACTTGGAGCAGTTTGACTTACTGTCTCGAATTTGATAAAGACGTCGATATTGGATCACGTATTATTGATTTAGAAGACATAGGAGTCATTGGAAACCTTAAAGGCACATCAAGATAATACGCGAGCATATGAATGAGGTGGCAAGTAAATCCCAATGCTGTAGCAACTTGATCTTCATCACATCCTAATAATTAAATATATTTATTATATTTATTATATAAGTATTATATCTTTAAACAAATCTACTTATTAGCATTTAATCTATAAACACCTGTGAATACTGAATTTGGTAACGGAACACCGAGAATTTTGAAAGAGAAGGATTCTGACTGTATCTGTACAAATAAAAATAAGTTTAAAAATAAGTTTTTTTTTTTTTTTTTATGATTATAACAATGCTAACAAAGAATGAATATTTACCTGCTCTATAGGATATATAGTGAGTAGGTCAGCAACTAGTTCCTTCTGACGAGCGCAAAGTTTAGATGTTGTTACGAAGAGGGCTTCGCTAAGAACATCAACCCTATTCAATACGACCATCTGCAAATAAAAAAAAAATTTCAAAACCCAATCGCAAAGGCTAACAAAACAAACCGAGCTCGTTCCAATAGCTTGTGGCTTTCCTCCAAATATTCATTTCCTGTTTGATAACGACTTCTCGCATCTTCTAAAGCAACACGACGTAATCGAATATTTTCACGTAAAGAATTTATACGTTGTCGATCTTGAATAAGATATATTTTTATGATCAGATAAACACCACATTATATTATATTATATTGTGACACAGGATATAAAAGGATAAATAGGAATAATTGATACACACCTTCTTCAAGTGCTTTGCTCTGGTCAGCAATTTCAGCACGATATCTAGAAAGCCTTAATTCACTGGAATTTTTCTCTTTTTCCTAAATATTTAAATGGTAATTGATAAAATTGATAATAATGCATATACAAGTAAATCTAGTTTTAAAAGAATAAAAAAAATATACCAAAACAAGCTTTGTTTTCTCCCGTTCTAAAATTTGATCAATATTTGCTATCACTTCGTCCCGCGACTTTTTCATATCAATTAAACAACTTTCGATGTTATTTAATCTATTTTTAACGAAAAATTTAATATAAACTATTATAACTTTTGTATTATTTAATAAACTGGCTTGGTACCGCATCACTGCATCATAGGAATAAGAACGCTTTGCCTGTTAAGTAAAAGCATAAAAAAAATCAAGTTCTTTATA